GGAGATGGGATTAAGAGTAGCAAATATCTGTCTGGGAATGGGGAAACACCCCATATCAACAGGGTTCCTGAATGAAACGCAATTGTATACCTAACCTTTAACTGTACCCCACAACTTCACAATAAAAAAATAAATTGAAAAAAATTTAGCCACTTTTTCCAACACCAATTGTTGTCAATTATAACAACCAATTGTTGTCTTCTGTGTCACCCTGCTGTCTTTCCTTTAATATGAAATCACAATATATTCTTGGGAACAGACTTTGTAATAAGACCTTCTACTACTCATAATTCTCAGAAATCTGATAATTGCTTTAACTTTACATTTTAACATCTCACCCCAAAACCAAAAGAAGGACAAAAAACCCAAGTGGAAGAACAACAACTCTATAAGAACTCTATGATAGGGATGAACTCTCACATTTCAATAATTAGCCTGAATGTGAATGGACTAAATGCACCACTGAAAAGATATAGAATGACAGAATGGATAAAATATCACCAGGCAACAATATATTGCCCTCAAGAGACCCATCTCACTAGAAAGGACATACACAGGCTCAAAGTAAGAGGATGGGAAACAAATTTTCAGGTGAATGGAACACAAAAGAAAGGAGGAGTTGCGATCCTAATTTCAGACAAAATATCATTTAAGCTATCAAAAATTTAAAAAGATACAGAGGGCCACTACATAATGATAAAAGGTTCACTCAATCAACAAGAAATATCTATCCTAAACATATATGCACCCAACATAGGTGCGCCAACTTTCATAAAGCAGCTTCTAGGAAAACTAAAGAAAGATATTGACTCTAACACCATCATAACTGGGGACTTTAATACCCCACTCACAACCCTAGACAGATCATCAGGACAAAAAATCAGCAAGGAGATCTGGAACCTCAATGAGACTCTGGACTAAATGGAATTAATTTATACCTACAGAACACTCCATCCAAAGACCACAGAATACACATTCTACTCATCACCACATGGAACATATTCTAAGATAGACCACATAATTGGACACAAATCAAGCATAAGCAAATTTAAAAGGACTGAAATTCTACCATGCACCTGCTCGGACCACAGTGGAATAAAAATAAACATTGATACCAACAAGGTCCCCCCAAAACCCACAAAGACATGGACACTAAACAGCATGATACTAAACAACTCCTGGGTCAATGATGAAATCAAAACAGAGATCCAAAGATACCTGGAAACAAATGAAAATGAAGAAACATCTTACCAAAATCACTGGGACGCCTTGAAAGCTGTAGTAAGAGGGGAATTTATATCCCTACAAACACACATGAAGAAAATGGGAGGAACACAAATTAACAACCTAACAAGCCACCTAAAGAAGCTGGAAAAGCAAGAGCACAAAAACCCTAATTTCAGCAGAAGAATCCAGATCACCAAAATAAAAGCCCAAATCCAGGACATAGGAGACAAAAAGATAATACAAAAAAATCAATGAAACAAAAAGCTGGTT